ATCTTTTGTCCTTTTGCAATTTAATATAAGGAGATGTTATAGTCCCGTTATAAAACCATTTCGTCGGGGTTTGTAACAGTTAGATCAAATATACCCGACGGTTATATGATGATCTAACGATTACAAGCCCCCGACGGATTTATAACATAATTTTCCAGATAATTTATTAGTCCCAAAGACAATCTTAGGGCTTGCTTGTTTATGGATTAATTTACTCACTTTTATTTCAACTCAAAATTTAACTCAACTTTAACTCAACCCCACTATCTTTAATATTATTTATATAATTAAATAATACAAACCAATCATTCTTACACATCACATCAACTTTAATTCACTATTCATCCACTCACATAATTTTAACTACCTATCATTTCCAATCATTTATCTCTTACTTTTACATCAAATCAATTTTAATTATTTTATTCTAAATATTATTTTAATACATTCTTAAAATTCCACTACAACTAACCATACCACATTTTTCAAAATTAACTATAGTTAACCAAAATAACTCAATTTGAACAAATTATTTCATAAACAATCAAGCCCTTAGAGTTTAAGGCAAGATAGATCTTTGCATGAAGATATCTAATAGGCTGACTAAGGTAGCTCGGTGTCTTTCTATGGCTTTACCTATTAGTCTTAAATTTTCGAGTGCCTTTTATCCCTTTACTTGTAAAATGTGGTCCGAAAGTGAGTTTGAGTTGCTGGAAAAGAGACACAAATCTGATTAGGCGGAAAATTAGCCTATAACGTGGGCACCCACAATCCAACGCTTTAAGAAATCTATAAATTATCATTAGTGCAATTATTCGAATCGAGTTATTTTATAGCACAACTCGTTTGATTTGTGAAAGTGTTCGGTTCGTGAAAGCTCCAGCAGGGCTCGTTCGTTTACTCCAATGAACCGAAGTCGAACAGTTGATTAACCATGCTCGTTTTACATGTCAAGCCGAGCCAAGTTTGTATGAACTTAAAACGGAGTGGAACCTTTTGTTTTATTTTGTATTATTAAATTATATGAGTTGGCTCGTTTGATAAACGAGCAGTCCGCTCGAATAACTACCCCATATATGATTTCAAGTTTTACTACGAAACGATCCAACGTTTCCACAGAATTGGTTCAATATAATTTTCCAATAAAAGTGCAAATATATTTTATTTTTATTTATTTATTTAAAAATATGATAATTTAGCATAAATTATATATAATTATTAGAAATAAAAATGTCTCGCATGTTGACATGATTTATAAAGGCGCTGGAATATGATTTTTTTT